GCTCGCAATACAGCGGGACATTGATTATAAGTTAGAAAAAAAAGTTAAATGCTCTGGAAGAAATTGTTATTGCTATTGGCAATGAGGTTCAACTTCTCAAACAACAACTGTCTACTCGTTGCCATGTTCAGTTTCGTTTCATTTGTGTTACGCCTTTACATTATAACTCTTCCTTACATTGGAATCTTACCAAACATCACCTATTGGACATCTGGCAAGACAATGACCTTTCTCATGACCTTTCGTCTCTCCAAGCTGAAATTTCTGCTATCAGTAAGTCTCATCTGCACACTTCACTCTCTTCCTTTGCTCATTCTCTAGCTTCCACTCTCCAATCTTTGACTCCTACTCACTGGTATCACCTCGTTCTCTCCTTTATTCTTTCCCTACTCGTCCTGCTCCTTTGTTTACTCCTTCCCCTCTGTGTCCGCTTACTTCACAGGTCCATTCATCATCTTCAACGAGATGTACGCCTTCCAGTTCCGTTCTAAAAACAAAGGGGGACCTGCTGCACCTCCCCCTGCAGTGACCTTTAGGGCTAACCGTCCCTAGGTCCGGCTGGGCAACCAGCGCGCAGGGGAAGAACAGCAAAACACCCTGAAGCAGAGGAAGTACAGCGGAAGTTCCCTGAAAAGACAGAAGCTTATCAAGATAACGACCACCAGGAACCACTACAAGAATGCTAAAAATCCTTATCCCCTCTTTCTAGAACTACAAACTTTAATCCCTTATTGTCTTTCTAAACTTCCTTCTTTCTTCCATAAAGGTCATTGCTTGTTATGTAGATCACCACCCTGATGGTAATAGGCTGAGCCCATGAGCAAGCTGATTTCATTGATATTCATTGTCCCTGTGCTTTTGGAAAACATATATATACTGGTCACAAACTCAAAGAAAATTACACTCAGATTTTCACTCTTGAAGTGTGTCTGTTTGTCATTTCTTTCACCGACGCCCTGACCACCCTGCACGCTTCTCTCAACCCTGAGGTGGCCTCATCGTCTACTGCTGTGCTGGTCCACGGCACTCTTGGATTAAGTAATTATTATGATTGTCATTAATAATTATTTTATAGGCCTCCCCTGGTGGTGCAGGCGGTTGAGTGTAGTGCTGTGAAGCTGTCCTCAGCCTCTGCAGCACAGGTTCGATCCCAGCCAGCCGGCGAGATACCCACCTGTGGCAGACCTCTCCTGTCTTGCCTGCTGCTCCCTTCAGCAATATATTTCAGTGGATCCTCCTTTTCTGCTCCCCATTCTGTTTCTGGTGAATCCTCTCACCTCCCCCACCTCTGGCCTACACCCCAGTTCTTGTATGCATAAGTAAATAAAAATAAATCTTTTTTAAAAAAGAATAATTAAGCACAAAGAGTTACAAGAAAGGAGGAGGAGTAAGAGTGGGAATGGTGTGAGTATTTGAAGGAGACTGGAGTGTAGGAAATGTGGTTTTGCAAATGGGTGGGAGTGGTGTGGGTCCTCTGTTTTGGTCACTTTATCTAGATCACCATGGTCCTCCATTAGTAACCAAGAGTGGAGCTCTCAGTTATGAGCTAGCTAGTCCTTGACCACTTCTCCCAGACATGCACTCAAAAATACACACATCCATCTCTAAATGAGCTTTTATGGACTCAGAGAGCTGGAAAAGATTTCAGAGGACAATCCCTCCATTTTATTGAAGAGAATACTGAAGCCTCCAGACCTTGATGACGACAAGCCTGGGCTAGCACCTAGACCTTCTCTCCCAGTTATTCCTTGCATACTAAATCAGATTCTATTTCTAAAGCCCACTAAGAATTCTGGATTTACCTGTTCTTGATACTACAGCAGGGCATTTGAGACATCACTTAAGAAAAGGAAGGCCCCTTATCTCTCACTGGCAGAAGCTGGGAACAAGTGTAACAGGGTGGTCCCCAGGAAAGGGGGACCAGGTTTCCTGCCCACCCCCCCACCCAAAAGGTGGGTGGAGCTGAGCAGAGAGAGAAGCTGCAGAGAAGACTGAGGATGGAGAGCCAGAAGGAGACCTGGAGGAGGCACATGGAGCTGAGAGACACATGAAGAAGCTGTGCTTGCCTTTCGGTCGTGGACTGGTTGAAACAGATGTAGGTGAGACCCGTGGGGAGGTGACAATGGCAGCTTTTATCTTGATTTTGATTTTGCTCTTTTCCTTCCAGGCTTGTCTGGTTGTTTCTGATCCTTTTCTGTGGGTCCCCACTGGAAGATGCTTTATACCTGTGACAGGCTTTGGGGTCTTATTCTGGGCCAATCCTGCTTGGGTGGACTTTTATCCATGAGGGGACAGGTAACATTGGGTGCTTGATTTATAAACTAGATTCTTTGCCTTTCCTGTATTGTTTCCTAATTGTATTAAAGTTCCTTCCCATTAAAGTCTCATTTGTTTTGTGTTGATGTGGTGGATGGCAGAACCCATTTAGAGCAGGCAGGTGTGTGGGGTCTGGGCTGCCCCTCTCCCTGCCCTGTAATACAAGGAATAAGGACCCAGATAACCCCACATGGAGTATATGCGAAACAGCCTGCGACATTTTCCCTCTAGACTGTACGGAAGACACTCTTGTGTGTGACCATTTGCTTCCATGTGAAACTATAACTCAGTGGGCTGGCAACTCAACCTGCCTCCAAGACTCTTAAATTCTAAGCTGAGATTAGCCCCCTGTCCCATTTATACTCCTAGAAAGGAAAAGGAGCAAGGCAACAGGAGACAAAATTCACAAAGATAAATTGTTGCTTGACGGCTTTTGGATTTTCTGCTGTCACTAGAGTATAAACTATTCTTTTTAGAAATCTGGCAATGAGGAAGAAATGATACATGGAAACAGATTTTTCAAAGTTATTTTGAAATTTCAGTCTGTCTCTCTTAACTTTCACGTTAGCCCCATGAGGAATCAGGGTGTCCAATTCAAAGGTAAAGATGCTGTGATTCAAAGAATTAAGTAACTGGCCCAAAGGGGTTCTCCTTTTATAAAGAGGGAAATATGAAATTGAGCCTAGGAGTGTTCTAACCCAAAAAACAATGTTCTTCCTAGAATCCACGTGACCTCACAACAAAGGAGACATAGCTAGAGACATTTTAGAGAAAGAGGTCTGGGGAAGGCATAAAAAAAAAAAAAATCAAGGAATTTTAAAAGGAAAAGCCAAAGAGTCACAACCTACACGCTAGCCCTACTCTCACGAATGGACATCCCTGGAGTTCAGGATTCAGTGGTTAGAAACAAGCTTTTTATGGGTAGAAGCTGGCTGCAATGAAGAGGAATGACTTCAACCGTCATTTATTGCATGACTTTTTTTTGCAAAACATAACCCACGACAGCATTTCTCCAATCTAATGGGAAAATCAGATAATGGACAAGTTATATATCAAGCAGTTTCATCAATATTAACGTGTATGGAAAATGATCTAGTCTCTTGGAGGATGCAATAAACGAATCCAGTTGGCAGGAAACAGGAGTTTCTTCCCCTGGAGCTGGATGGGTGGGGAAGTGGCTGGTGGGTACGAGAGCCACCGGGTGGAGGGAGGAGGGGGAGCCAGTCTTCTAGCTGTGACAGCGACTGGAGACGGGCAGCTTAGTGTGAGAGTGACAGGGAAAGAGAAGGCAGAGGTGCACAGGTGAGAGTAGTTGCTGGGGGCAGTGGAATTCTGACCTAGTCAGCCCAATCAGGGACAGAAATCCGAAGGGACGTTTGCCGTTGGAAAGATTTAAAGTAGAGTCTTAGTGTAATACAAACAATCGCATAATTAGAATTAGCATTAGGGTTAAATATGCAGTGGGGATGAAAGGCGCGAGCACACAGGAGAGGAGGGCGTATGCCTTGGCAAGAACTTGCGATCAGTTCTGAGAAAGGAGGGGAGAGGTTGGGTGTGATTTTACAAGCCTGTGAAGAAAGTTTAGGGGAACGGCTTGCTTGGCTCTGAAATAAGCTAGCAACTTGGAGGCCTGGAGGGCGTGGGTGGTCACTAGCTTCCAGAAAGTTGGGCAAGTCTGGCGAGCGGCCGGAGGCACTGCACAAGCACCCAGCAGGGCACGCGCGCGTGGGCTCCACAGCCGCGGGGCGGCCCCGGCCCGAGGAGTGGCCGCGGCTCGGGCCGGCCCGCCCGCGCACAGCCGGGCCGGGCCGCTCAGGGCCCGCGAGCAGGTGGCGGCGCCTCCCGCCGGGAGCGAGGCCGCGGGGAGCGCGCGGGCGCGCGGGCGGGCGCGCGCACTAGGCGGCGCGTCGGGGCCGCAGGCGCAGGGGGCGGGCCCGCCAGCGGGAGTCCGCGCGGCGCTGGGCACGCACGCGCAGACGGGCCGCGGAGCCCGGAGGCACAGAGGAGGGGGAGCGCGAAAGCGGGGGGTGTGGAACGTATTTCCGCTCTGGCGGACAAATAATACCGGCCAAAGGGGAGGCCAGGCCGTCCGGCCCTTTAACCGTGTGGGGGGGGCCGTGGAAGAAAGGGGGGTCGGGAAGGGGGAATCCTGCTCCTTTAATTCCCTCCCCTCTCCTTCCTCCCCGAGTTCTCGCCGACGCCGCCGCGCGCGGGGCCTGGAGCACACGGCACGAGCCGCCCCCGCCCCTCCCCCCTTACGCCCACGCGGAGCCGGCCCCGCGCGCGCGCCCCGTGCACCCCCGCGCCTGCGCGCTGCCCAGGCCCTGCCCGAGCGTGGGGGCGCTGCGGCCCCGGGGGGGTGGGGAAATAGGGGGGGAAAAAAAACAGCGCGCGGAACCGGGCCAGGTGAGAGGCGCGTGCACTCAGGGTCGTGGACCTGGGGGGGCGTGCCACGGAGATTTGAGCGGGGGGGGCGTGTACAATGCGTGCAAGTAGCGGGGTGGGGGGAGGGTTGGAGGACGTGAAAGGCGCGTGCAAACGTGCAAGGGGGGGCGGAAGAATGAGGCAGCGAGTAAAAGGGGGTGGGGTGAGACGAGGCTGCAGCCCGGGCCTCCCGGGAGACCAGAGCCCCAGGCCTCTGCTCCCCCTTGCTCCGACCTTCCCCCGCGGTCGCGCAGGCTCACCCCATCCTCGCGGGCTGTCTGGCTGGGGGGGTGTGGACGCCTCTGCCCCGCCCCCGGGAACCACGCCTCCCTCCTCTCGGAGGGACAGCGCCTCCCCGAGGGCTGGGGAAACTGAGGACCGGGCCTGAAGACGGGGAGACCTGATGCTGGGGGGTCGGGGCCTTGGAGTAGGGGCGAAGGGCCTGGAGCCTTGGCTTAAGGAGAGGCAGAGACCTTTGTCTCTGAACGGTTTCCTTCCCAACTAGGGTTGCCCACCCCCGCCACAATGGCCTCTGGGGTGGAAGTCCTGCGCTTCCAGCTGCCCGGCCACGAGGCTGCTACGCTGCGGAACATGAACCAGCTCCGCGCAGAGGAGCGGTTCTGCGACGTGACCATCGTGGCCGACAGCCTCAAGTTCCGCGGCCACAAGGTCATCCTGGCCGCCTGCTCTCCGTTCCTGCGGGACCAGTTCTTGCTGAACCCCAGTTCTGAGCTGCAGGTCTCCCTGATGCACAGTGCCCGCATTGTGGCCGACCTGCTCCTCTCCTGCTACACTGGCGCCCTGGAATTCGCGGTCAGAGACATCGTCAACTACCTGACGGCCGCCTCCTACCTGCAGATGGAGCACGTGGTGGAGAAGTGCAGGAATGCCCTCAGCCAGTTCATTGAGCCCAAAATAGGCCTCAAAGAGGATGGGGTCAGCGATGCCAGCCTTGTGAGCAGTGTCAGTGCCACCAAGTCCCTCCTTCCCCCTGCCAGGACCCCAAAGCCAGCCCCCAAGCCCCCACCCCCACCCCCTCTGCCCCCTCCGCTCCTGAGGCCTGTTAAGCTGGAGTTCCCGCTGGATGAGGACCTGGAGCTGAAGGCCGAGGAAGAGGATGAGGATGAGGATGAGGATGTGTCTGATATCTGCATCGTCAAGGTGGAGTCGGCCCTGGAGGTGGCACACCGGCTCAAGCCTCCTGGAGGCCTCGGGGGAGGTCTGAGCATTGGAGGCTCCGTGGGCAGCCACCTTGGGGAGCTGGCCCAGAGCAGTGTGCCCCCCAGCACTGTTGCCCCACCGCAGGGTGTAGTGAAAGCCTGCTACAGCCTGTCGGAGGACGCAGAAGGGGAGGGTCTGCTGTTGATCCCTGGAGGCCGGGCCAGCGTGGGGCCACGTCGGGCCTGGTGGAGGCAGCAGCAGTGGCCATGGCTGCCCGGGGGGCGGGGGGCAGCCTGGGGGCGGGGGGTACCCGGGGACCCCTCCCTGGGGGCTTCTCCAGTGGCAACCCCCTAAAGAACATCAAGTGCACCAAGTGCCCGGAAGTGTTCCAGGGCGTGGAGAAGCTGGTCTTCCACATGCGGGCACAGCACTTCATCTTCATGTGCCCGCGCTGCGGCAAGCAGTTCAACCACAGCAGCAACCTCAACCGCCACATGAACGTGCACCGTGGCGTCAAGTCGCACTCCTGTGGCATCTGCGGCAAGTGCTTCACGCAGAAGTCCACCCTGCACGATCACCTCAACCTGCACTCAGGAGCACGGCCCTATCGTTGCTCCTACTGCGACGTCCGCTTCGCCCACAAGCCTGCCATTAGGCGGCACCTCAAGGAGCAGCACGGCAAGACCACAGCGGAGAACGTGCTAGAAGCCAATGTGGCTGAGATCAACGTCCTCATCCGCTAGCAGGGCAGCACTGGGGCCCTGGGCGGGGTGGAAAGGGGGGACTCCCTGGCCCAGGAGAATAGGGGGATGGGGGGGTCAGGAACAGGTGGGTACGGTGGAGAACCTCAGACATTCATCCGGAAAGAGGGGCCGAAGATTCCTTGGAGAGAAGACCCTGCCTCTTGAAGAAAAGGACAGAGGGAGAGGGTGCTTTGAGAAGGCCAAGGAGATTGGAGGGGGTGGTCCCCAGGGAAGATTTTTCTCTTAGAAGTGCATGGATATGTGAAGGGAGGGGAAGGGTCCTGTAGAATGAGGAGGGTGGGGAAAGACTGGAAAATGCTTTATTCCTGGCTGAGGCTGCCCAGGAAGAAGTTCTGACGTTTCTTGAGGTAGTGGGTGGGTGGGTGGGAGTTGGGAGGGAATTTGGCAGGAGGCAACTTATAGGCTCCTCTTAGAGTAGGTCTTTGGGAGAGGGCGCGGTAGGGGAAAGGATTACTGAATCCCAGAAAAGGAGGGGGAGACAGTTCTTGCATGCTGGGGGAAGGGGCTGTGGGTACAAGGCTGGCTGAAATTCTAGGGAGAACAAAGTAAGGAGTGAAGTAAGAGAACATGGGGTGAGCATCCTGGGTAGATATTGGGAAGTGGGGTACAATAGCGAGAACAGTGGTAGTGTTGGGGTGGGGGTAGGGCACTTAGATGAGCGGACACAAGAAGGGCTGTTGGGGTGGGGGAGGGAGGAGTAGAGACTTATACAGTATTTTTTAAGAAAACAAAACGTATTTTTTAGGATTTTTTCTGGAGTTTGGGGTTTTAGTTTTTCTGCTTTTGTTTTCCACAAAATAAAAAAAAAACAACTTTTTTTTCTTTACATTTGATCTGGCAACTGCGTATATATGACTCTCCCACCCTAGACAGCCTCTCCCTCCACTCACACAATACCAGGCGACAGCTCACGCAGGTCCCATGCCTGGGGGAGCCTCCACAGAAGGGGACTGTGACTCCCAATTCTGCAACCTCAGCACACAAGTGCCCGTGATTGCAGCGCAGGGGTGCGAACCCGTGACCCGCGCCTCTGGCTGAGTGTAACCCCCGCGTGGGGGCTGAACACCGCCCACCGAAATCGTAAACAGAAACCTGTGTTCAGGCATTTCGGTCTCGGGAAATTTTGGTCATGGCCTCACTCGTGTTAGGGCGCCGGGCAGACTACAATTCCCAGAAAGCTCTGGACCCGCTCCTAACCAAAGAGAACTACAGTTCCCAGAAGGTCTCGACTTAGCCTCAGGTGCCCTATTCCTAATCACCTGCGGTGTCCAATGCTGCCTGTGAAATCTTACTTCTATTACCCCAACTTTGACCGGAATGTAACATCCAAGGGGCTGGTACCCTAAATACCGCAATCAAGGTTGCGCATCTTGGTGTAGTATTATTCGTGCATGCCCACAGCTGGCTGAGCCATGGCCCACGCAGAGTGCCTGTGCTTTTTACCTGTTTGGCAAAAAAAAGGTCACCTGTTCGAGTCCCCAGACAGTAAAGACGGGCCGGCCGCTAGAGGCATCCCGGCCCTGCATGTGCCAGCCAGCATGTCGGGCATAAACAAGCCATTTCAAAAGGGGCCGCCACTCCACGGACGTGAAGCCGCATTCCCGAGCCTGCCGGGGAATAAAGGGGTGCACGCGCGGCCCCTCGCCCCGTCCTGCTCGCTAGCGAAGCCAGGCCACGCCGAGCCCGCGCCGGCCCCTCACTACCCCGAGCCGAGCGAGCAACCAGAGGCGGGAGCAGCACCCGCGAGCCAGGCTGGGGTACACGCGGCGGAGGCGCGGGGGGCTCGGGCGCCCCGCTAGTTACCTAACACCAGGTGGGGGCGGAGAAGTCCCCATCCGCGGGGCCGCGGCCGCGCGAGGCGGGGGCTCTCCCCGCACCCCAGCCCCGGGCGGACCCCGCCGGGCCCGCGGCCGCCGGGGAGAAGGGCCCGCGCGCGTGGCTCCTTTAAGGCTCCTCCTGGCGCGCCCTCCCGCCCACGTGACCCGGGGCGGCCGCGCGCCGGCTCGGCCCCCAGCGCGAGCGGCGATGGCGGCGGCGGCGGGAGCTGCAGCGGCGGCGGCCGCCGAGGTGCGGAAGGGGAGGGGGAGAGGCGGGTGCATGCCCGCGCGCGCGCCCGGGGGAAGCGCGCGCCCGTGCAATGCTCCGGGGGTGCAACGGGGCCGGGGGGCCCGGGCGGGACTTGCAGCAATCCGGAGGGCCAGCACCGGGGGCGGATGAGGGGACCAGGGGTGGGAGGTGGGGGGAGTGGGCACGGAGGCGCGCGTGCAGCCGCCGGCTGCCCCCGAGTGGGTGGCGGGCGCCGGGGCCTCGGGAGCACGCGCGAGGGGCACGCGGGGCCGACCGCCGGGCTGGGGGGCAGCGGGCGCCGGAGGGGTGGGTGCCCGGGGTCCCCGCGGCCTGGGGGACAAAGGGGGAGCGGCGCGTGCAGCCGGGAGGAGGGGGCGGGGCCGGGGCGCGGAGGCCCCGCCCCCTCCCCCTCCTCTCTTCTCGGCCCCTGAGATGCGGGGTCTGCCGAGAGGGAGGGGGCTGATGCGGGCCCGGGGGAGGGGTCGTGCGGCCCCTCCGGGCAGCCGAGGCCGCGGAAGGGGGGGCCCCACCGAGGAAGAGGTAGGCCCCGGAGCCTACTTTCTCTTCCCAGAGCCCAGGCGTCCTGGGCCCCCCAACTTCCTACCGGACTGACCAGCCCTCCTATCCCTTGTGTCCCCTCCCAGGGGGAGGCCCCTGCTGAGATGGGGGCGCTGGTGTTGGAGAAGGAGCCCAGAGGAGCCCCGGAGAGAGGTGAGTCCACAGAAGCGGGCCCATTTGTACCGTCCCCTCCTCCAGCACAGGCTCCCCAGAGCCCTTCGCCCTGAACTTTCGCTCTTCTCTTACAGTTCATGGCTCTTTGGGGGATGCCCCTCGTAATGAGGAGACGCTGCCCAAGACCAACCCTGACTCTCTAGAGCCTGCTGGTCCCTCATCCCCTGCCTCTGTTACAGTCACCGTGGGCGATGAGGGTGCTGACACCCCCGTAGGGGCCACACCACTTATTGGGGATGAGCCCGAGAATCTAGATGGAGACGGTGACCTCCACGGGGGCCGCATCCTGCTGGGTGAGAGGCTTGGGGGGGGTCTGAGGGTGAGGTGGGGTGTCCTCTGCCTGCCTGGCCTCTTACCTTGCCTCCTGCCTGTCTGTTCCAGGCCATGCCACAAAGTCATTTCCCTCTTCCCCCAGCAAGGGGGGTGCTTGTGCCAGCCGGGCGAAGATGTCTATGACAGGGGCTGGAAAATCACCCCCATCCGTTCAGAGTTTGGCTATGAGGCTACTGAGTATGCCGGGGGCCCAGGGGGCAGCAGCAGCCGGGCCTGAACCCCCTCTGGCCACAACCAGCCCCGAGGGGCAGCCTAAGGTCCACCGAGCCAGGAAAACCATGTCCAAACCCGGAAATGGACAGGTGAGGTGGGGGGTGTTTGGGGTTTGGGAGAGATGGGGGTAATTGACCCTAAACCCCTTGTGGGCTTTTTTTTTTTTTAAAGATTGATTTATTTATGCATAGAACTGGGGTGTAAGCCAGAGGTGCGGGGTGGGGGAAGGGGGAAGAGGATTCACCAGAGACCAGAACAGGCAGACCCACTGAAATACGTTGCTGAGGGAAGCAGCAGGTGAGACAGCAGATGTTTGCTGAGTCATGTGTGGGTCACCTCCCTGACCAGGGATCGAGCTGAGGCCTCAGTCATAGTAGCAATCCCTAATCTACCAGAGAGGCCCCCCCTTGTGGTCTTTTTTACAATTTAACTTTTAGGCTTTTTCTAATCCAGTCACAACTTCCTGTATTTACCAAGTGGCTCTGACAGTGTGTTGAATGCCGAATTGGGGCTTAATCTGTAAACAAACTGGTTCCTCTCCTCCTGGAGTTTACATTCTTGGGGAGGGGGAGTAGAGTAGACAAATGATGAAGAGTTAATTACATAGTTAATGACTTAATTACTTTTTTGATAATGACCTTGTAAAGCAACTTCAAACCACTCTCCCTTTCTACCTCAAGGCAAGCCCCCGGGGGACTTTTTCCTTCCTTCTTTCCAAACTGCCCCCACTCCATTTTTAAAGGTCTTACTACAACCCCCTACAGAGGAGGAGAGTGAAGTCACAAAAATGACAGAGGGAAATGACAAAAACCTCAGAAACTCGATGATAAAGTTTTTAGGGTTCTTGGTGTTATTTTGTTCTGGGTGTGGTTTGGGTAGCTTTTCGGTCAAGGCCTTAACCCTTGTTTTCTCATCTGTAAAATTGGGGGAAAGGGCCTGTTTCTGGGTGCTTGAAGAAACAAGCGTCGTGTGTGGGATGTGCTGACACACTTCCTCTGGGGAAACAGCAGTTTTTGTTATTGCCAGGTTCTCATTACTGGAGCTTCAGGTGGTATTTTTGAGGGTGTGACTTACCACCCCACCCCCATGTGGGGCTCCAGGCAATCCAGGAACCATACATAGATACTCCCTGACCCTAAGTGTACTCCCTCTCAGCCCCCGGTCCCCGAGAAGCGGCCCCCTGAAGTGCAGCATTTCCGCATGAGCGATGACGTGCACTCGCTGGGGAAGGTGACCTCAGGTCAGTCCCACCCCCCACCCACCTGTGGCTTGATGTGGCCTGTCCTGAGACTTTACAGTGCTTGCCTCACTCCCTTCTTTCTTCTTTCAGACATGGCCAAAAGGAGGAAACTGAACTCTGGAGGTGCTCTGGTGAGCTAGGAGAGGTGGAGAATGCGGCCTCTTCACCCAGGGGGGCTACTCCAAGGGACCTGGGAGCTGGGGCTGCATCCTGCCCTCAAGGGAAATGGGGGGGCTGCTGGGAGAGTGCCAGCAGCTTCGATTTTTTTGATCTTTTTCTAGTCCGAGGAGTTGGGTTCTACCCGGGGTTCGGGAGAAGTGACCCTGGAGAAGGGGGACCCCAGGTCCCTGGAGGAGTGGGAGACGGTGGTGGGGGACGACTTCAGCCTCTACTATGATTCCTACTCTGTGGATGAGCGGGTGGACTCTGACAGCAAGGTGAGAGGGAGCTAGCGTGCCCTCCCGGCCAGCACTCCCCCTCATCCAGGGCTCACTCTCTGGTCCTTCCTGCTCCCCTGTACTGTCCTTCCTGCCTTCTGAACACCCACCTATTTATTGCCCCATATTGTCAGTAACGTCCCAGTGCGTGTTCCAGCCCATTCCATCCTCTGGCCCTTCCGCGGTGGCAGCCACCTCCTGGACTTGGGGTCAGCATCCCATTTTACCTTATCTCCTTTTGTTTATTTTTTGCTCTTCCTTTGGTTTTATCTCCTATATGTTTGCTTAGGCAATATAATACTTAGTCTTGCTTCTTTTCTTTTTTCTTCTCGTTTTTGCTACTTATTTAACATTTCATTGGGGAAATTTTCAAATATACACAAAAGAGTAGAATAGTGAGGATCTCCCGGTACCCATCCTAGTTCTAGCTATTTATTAACACAAATCATCTGGACTCGCCTGTTCTTCTCCCAACACAGGCATCAATATATTGTGGAGGAGCAAATGCCAGGCATCTTGGCATTTTATTTAGAAATATTTCCATATGTATTTCTACATGTAAGGTCTATTTCTGTTTTTTTTTATTATTATTATCACTGCAGTGATTTTTTTTTTTAAGATTTATTTATGCATATAAGAACTGGGGTACAGGACAGAGGTGTGGGGGGGGGTGAGAGGATTCACCAGAGACAAAGTGGGGAACAGAACAGGCAGACTGACTGAAATTCACTGCTGAGGGGAGCAGCGGGCGAGACAGGAGAGGTCTGCTGTGTCATGTGGGTAGCTCCCTGGCGCGAGACAGGAGAGGTCTGCTGTGTCATGTGGGTAGCTCCCTGGCCGGGGATCGAACTCATGCTGCAGTGGCTGCGGATAGCTTCCCAGTGCTGTGCTTAACCCCTTGCGCCACTAGGGAGGCCACTGCAGTGATATTTTTATACCGAAAAAATTTGCCAGTGATTCTGTTGTGCCATCACCTTACTACTAATCAGTTTCCACATTTTCTCAGTTACTTTGTAAGTGGGTTTTGTTTGTCAAGATTGAAACGAGGTCCACCTATGGAGTTGACATTTGTTTTAGGTCTTTTTTTTTTTTTTTTAGATTTGTTTTTGTTTATGCATATAAGAACTGGGGTGTAGGCCAGAGGTGCAGGGGGTTGAGAGGATTCACCAGGGACAAGAGTGGGGAGCAGAACAGGTGGATCTACTGAAATATACTGCTGAGAGGAGCAGCGGGCAAGATAGGAGAGGTCTGCTGCACCATGTGGGTAGCACCATGGATGGTGATAGAACTCATGACGTAGTGGCTGGTGATAGCTTGATAGCACTAAGACTTTAACCCCTGGGCCACCAGGGAGGCCCTGTTTTAGGTCTTTTTTGATCTATAAGTTTTCCCATCTTTTAAAAAATAATTTTTCCCTGCTTATTTGAAGAAGCCAGGTCATAAGTCCTACAGAATTCCTCCCCTTTAGGAGCTGGCCATTGGGGATTGACTGCGCTCCTCTCTGCCCAGTACTTCTTGTAAACTAGTAGGTCCAGAAGCAAAATCCACTTTGGGTATTTTTGGGCCAGAAAACTTCATGGCTGGTGCAGTGCTTTCTCATGTCGCATCAGGAGGTGTGGAACACCTGGCCTTTCATTAGTCATGTTAAGCTTGGTCATTGCATTCAGCTGGTGTCAGCTTGATCCCTTCGTTATAAAGTTCCCTGTTAGCTTTTCATCTAGGATATTTAGCTACTAATAGTTTTGCCTATTTATCATAAAAATAATATACTTTTGTTTTTTATTTTGTTTTTTTTTTTTAATTTATGCATGCAAGAACTGGGGTACAGGCCAGAGGTGTGGGGGGTGAGAGGATTCACCAGAGACGGAGTGGGGAACAGAAAAAGCACACTGAATGAAATACACTGCTGAGGGGAGCAGCGGGCAAGTCAGGAGAGGTCTGCTGTGCCACGTGGTTTGTTCCCTGGCCGGCCGGGGATTGAACTCGTGCTACAATGGCTGCGGATAGCTTCATAGGTTGCTCTTAACCCCTTGCACCACCAGGGAGGCCGCTCCCTTTTTTTTTTTTTTTTTTCTTCAAGATTTATTTATTCAGGCATACAAGAACTGGGGTACAGGCCAGATTTGTGGGAGGGTGAGAGGATTCACCATACACAGAGCGGGGAACAGAACAGGCAGACTGATGAAATCCACTGCTGAGGGGAGCAGCGGGGAGACAGGAAAGGTCTGCTGCACCATGTGGGTAGCTCCCTGGCTGGGGATCAAACTCATGCTGCAGTGGCTGTGGGTAGCTTCATAGGTTGCGTCTTAACCCCTTATGCCACCAGGGAGGCCCTAATATACTTTTGTTTTCTAGAATTTTTTTTGCTTAATATTATGTTGCCAAGATCCACGCACATTGTATGTCACCACAGCACCTTTTTCACCGCCCTCTGGTAGTCCACGCCCTCCACTCCATCCAGCCCTTTCTCTCCCTCCTGCCCACATGCGCCTCCTCCAGGGAGCCATCTCTGGGTTGTAGTTGTCGTTTTCTTTATCCACCTCATTGAGTCCTGGGGGTTGGGTATGTCTTACTCTTCCTCTCCCGAGTTCCCCCAGCAGAGAGCTGCGCTCGGGGTCGCTGTTTCCTCAGCCTCACTGTGCTCTCCCCCAGTCTGAGGTGGAAGCTCTGACCGAACAACTGAGTGAGGAGGAGGAAGAAGAAGAGGAGGAGGAAGAGGAGGAGGAGGAGGAAGATGAGGAGGAGGAGGAGGAAGAAGAGGACGAGGAGTCAGGGAATCAGTCGGATCGGGTAAGAGCCTCCCAAAGCAGCGGGGTGATGGGCCCAGAGGCCGGAGTCCTCAGAGCAGGGCGCTGTGGGCTGGGAGCCTGGCTCTCCTAACAGCTCTCTGCCTTCACAGAGTGGTTCCAGTGGCCGCCGCAAAGCCAAGAAGAAATGGCGGAAGGACAGCCCGTGGGTGAAGCCATCACGGAAACGGCGGAAGCGGGAGCCCCCAAGGGCCAAGGAGCCACGAGGTGAGGGAGCGCGGCTGCCCCGGGGTCCCTTCCTGCCCCGCTCCCGGCCCCGAGAGCATGCATGTCCACACTCACTCGTGCATGTCCACCCACTCGCACCTGCGCGCCGGCGCCCTGAGCTCGCACTCTCACTCTCTCTGTCTCTGTGTCAGGAGTGAATGGTGTGGGCTCCTCAGGCCCCAGTGAGTACATGGAGGTCCCTCTGGGGTCCCTGGAGCTGCCCAGCGAGGGGACCCTCTCCCCCAACCACGCTGGTAATTGCCAATTGCCGGGATAGGGAGCCGCTAGGGGGTGCCCTCATGGCCGGAGGGAATGGGGAGGAGGGGGACCCCACTGGAGCTGGTGTGTCCATGGCCAGGCTTTGGGGGTTCTGGAGCATGGAGGGAAAGGCAGGGCAGGGGTGAGAGGCCCCACTGGGGGTCCCGGTGGGTGAGGGGCAGGGCCTCCCTCAGCTCCTGTTCTCCTCCATCCAAGGGGTGTCCAATGACACGTCTTCACTGGAGACAGAGCGAGGATTTGAGGAGCTGCCCCTCTGCAGCTGCCGCATGGAAGCGCCCAAGATCGACCGCATCAGTGAGAGAGCGGGGCACAAGTGCATGGCCACGGAGAGTGTGGATGGAGAGGTGGGCTTGTGGGCCAGTGGGACAGATGGGGGTGGGCGGCATCTGGCCCCAGGCCTTAGCCTCACCCATCCTCGCTGCCCACAGCTGTCCGGCTGCAATGCCGCAATCCTCAAGCGGGAGACCATGAGACCCTCAAGCCGTGTGGCACTGATGGTCCTCTGCGAGACCCACCGTGCCCGCATGGTCAAACACCACTGCTGTCCAGGCTGTGGCTACTTCTGCACGGCGGTAAGCGGCCAGTGGGCAGGTGAGCGGCACGTCCCATGGGACAGGGAGCTCCCAGAGTCTGACCGAGTGGTTTTTCCGCCTCCAGGGCACCTTCCTTGAGTGCCACCCCGACTTCCGCGTGGCCCACCGCTTTCACAAGGCCTGCGTGTCCCAGCTGAATGGAATGGTCTTCTGCCCCCACTGTGGGGAGGATGCATCTGAGGCCCAAGAGGTGACCATCCCCCGGGGGGACGGGGTGACCCCACCGGCCGGCACTGCAGCCCCTGCCCCCCCACCCCTGGCCCAGGATGCCCCCGGGAGAGCAGATACTTCCCAGCCCAGGTACTGGCCTCCCCTTCTCTACCGTCTGTTCCCTGCTCTGTCCCTGTCTCCCTCTCCCCCAGACATCAGTACCTTCTCCCACAGTGCCCGGATGCGAGGGCATGGGGAGCCCCGGCGTCCACCCTGTGATCCCCTGGCCGACACTATCGACAGCTCGGGGCCCTCCCTCACCCTGCCCAACGGGGGCTGCCTCTCAGCCGTGGGACTGCCCACTGGGCCAGGCCGGGAGGCCCTGGAAAAGGCCCTGGTCATCCAGGAGTCAGAGAGGTGAGTGGGAGGTGCTCTCCGCGCCAGGGCTGGGACTGCAAGGAGGCCGGAACTGCGGGTGTTAAGGCTGATGCTGGGCTCTGAGGCGCCCACTTCTGCCTCCCTCACTATGGCAGGAGGAAGAAACTCCGTTTCCACCCCCGCCAGTTGTACCTGTCAGTGAAGCAGGGGGAGCTGCAGAAGGTGATCCTGATGCTGTGTGAGTGCTCACCATTCATTCAGAAAACCTCAATTGTGCACCTGTTACATACGGGGGCTGGGTTCGGGCCAGGAGTACAGTGTTGAAGACATCATCCTCACCCCATAGGGGTCCTAGTGTGGTGGGAGTGGCAGACACAGGCAGATGGAGGTGATGGGGCAACGAGTATGGTGACCATGAGCACGTAGGCCTTGGCACTCTCTGGAGTGCATACATATGCTCGCTGACTTGGGTCTTCGCGGCAGAGGCCCAGTACTGAGGGGCAGCACTGGTGCTCTTCACACCTTACTCTGATCACTGCCGCAGTGACTGCAAGCCCAAGGAAGGCCCAGGGAAGGCCCCTGACCCAGTCTAGGGCCCTGACATACCTTCCTGGAGTTGTTGCCACCTCCCCCTAAATTGCTTACCACCTGTCCCTCCTCTCCCGTTGTGGTGGGCTCTCCCCACAGTGGACAACCTGGACCCCAACTTCCAGAGTGACCAGCAGAGCAAGCGCACGCCTTTGCACGCGGCTGCCCAGAAGGGCTCTGTGGAGATCTGCCACGTGCTGCTGCAGGTCAGCACGGGCCCGACCCTCTGCCTCAATGACCAGGGACCCCTGCCCTGCCCAGTCCCCTCTGGTGCCAGCCTGCACGCCCCCTCCTCATAGGCCGGTGCTAACATCAATGCAGTGGACAAGCAGCAGCGGACACCGTTGATGGAGGCCGTGGTGAACAACCACCTTGAGGTGGCCCGCTACATGGTTCAGCGTGGAGGCTGCGTCTACAGCAAGGTGTGGCACTGGCAGGGAGGGCCCAGGGCAGGGATGGGTGGCGGTGCCTCCAGCAGACTCACTCGCCTACATCACCCTCCAGGAAGAGGATGGCTCCACCTGCCTCCACCACGCAGCCAAAATTGGGAACTTGGAGATGGTCAGCCTGCTGCTCAGCACAGGGCAGGTGGATGTGAACGCCCAGGTCAGTGGCCTGGCTATCCCCCCAGCCCCACCTGCTTCCTCTGACCTCTGACCTTCCTCCCCCTCATCTCACTCTGTTCCTGTCCCCATTTCTTTTTCCTCTTCATTTCTTTTTCTTTTTATTCTCTTTATCAGGTTATTTTTTTATACCCGAGGAAAGTTTTGCTAAAAGATGCCTACATTTAGGAAGGTTATAACTTGGTAGACAGTGATGAGTATTAATCGATGCTTTAGTGTAGTAAATACAGGAGAGATGGTAAAAGCACCAATGGTCGATAGAACACCATTGAAAAGGTTTCTTCTAAGAATATAGCACAAAGTAAAGTGTATACAGTATGTGAAAACTTAAATTTTATCAATTGTAGAAACTTCCAAAAAAACACTTTCACAAAGGTCAGTCTGTGAACTAATCTCTTGAAATTTTTTATTCTCCTGTACCAAACCACCAATGCCCATGCTCCATCTACCTCCCTCCCCACCCCTGCACATTTTCTCCTTTTCCCTCTGGTAACCATTATGTTCCTTTTGCTGAGTTGAAGTTTTATTCCTTGTATTGTTAGGCATGTAATTATATTTGCAGGGGGCGGGGGTATTTACATTCCACAGATGAGTGAAACTATCTAAAAGCTGCCTTGCACTTTTTTTTTTAGATTCATTTATTTACGCATACAAGAACTGAGGTACAGGCCAGAGGGCGGGGTGGGGTGGTGGTGAGAGGATTCACCAGAAACAGAGTAAGGAACAGAACAGGCAGACTGACTGAAATACACTGCTGAGGGGAGGAGCGGGCGAGAAGGAGAGGTCTGCTGTACCATGTGGGTAGCTCCCTGGCTGGCCGGCAATCGAACTCACGCTGCAGAGTCTGCAGATAGCTTTGTGGTGCTGAGACTTAACCTCTTGGCGCCCCCAGGGAGGCCCTTGTCTTTCACTTTTTGACTGATTTCACTTAATATAATCACCTCAAGCCCCATCCATTTTGTCCCAAGTGCCACCATTTCATCTTTGTTTATACTTGTGTAATATTCCATTGAGCATATATTCCACAGCTTCTCTATCCAGTTATCTGTGGAAGGTTATTTGGGTTGGTTTCATACCTTGGCCATTGTGAATAGTACTGCTGTGTACATAGGTGTAGATAAATCTTTTCATATTAGAGATTTCTATTATTTGAGAAAAGATCTAATGGAAGTATTGCTGGTCATACAGAATGTCAATTTTTATTTTCTTGAGACATTGCCATACCACAGGGGCTATATACCAGCTCACCTTCCCACCAGCAGATGAGTTCCTTTTTTTTATTTAAAGTTTTATTTTATTTATTTATGCATATAAGAACTGGGTTGCAGGCCAGAGGTGCATTGTGAGTGAGAGGATTCACCAGAGACAGTGTGGGGAGCAGAACAGGCAGACTCACTGAAACACATTACTGAGGGGAGCAGTGGGTGAGACAGGAGAGGTCTGTTGTGCCATGTGGGTCAGCTCCCTGGACTGGTGTAGAACTCATGTCTCAGTGGCTGGTGTTAGCTTGATAACTGAGACTTTAACCCCGTGCCATTGGGGAGACCCAAGAGTTTCTTTTTCACTGCATCCTCACCAACACTGATTCTGTCGTTTTTAATATGGATTCTTCTCACAGGGGCGAGGTGGTATCTCAGTGTGGTTTTAATTTGCATTTTTTCTTATAAGTGATTTTGGACATTTTTTCATATATCTGTAGGTCATCTGAAGGTCTTCTTTAGAGAGGTGTCTATCTTTGCCAATTTTTAAATTGAATTTGTTTTCTTTGTTGTTGAATTATATGAATGCTTTATAAATATTGGAGATTAACCCTTGTCAGGTGTATGCTATGTGAATATTTTTCTCCATCTTTTGATTTTGGTGATCATTTCTCTATTTATTTATACATACAAGAACTGGGGTGTAGGACAGAGGTGCGGGGCAGGGGGTGCGGGTGAGAGGATTCACCAGAGAGAGTGGGGAACAGAACAGGCAGATCTACTGAAATACACTGCTGAGGGGAGCAGCAGGCGAGACAGGAGAGGTCTGCTGCACCATGTGGGTAGCTCCCTGGCTGGGCTTCGAACTCCTGCTGCAGTGGCTGTGGATTGCTTCAGAGTGCTGTGCTTAACCTCTTGCACCACCAGGGAGGCCCCCAGTGATCATTTCTTAGTTAGATTTTAGAATAACTTGTTGCCTTAATCTCTGAAAGTGAGATGGCTCTGTTAACTCTTAAGTTTTCGTGTGTTGGATGGGTTTGTCTTTCATTGTCATTCTTCTCAGTCTTTGACTCCTTCCACCCTTTGTCCAGCAGGAGCCCTCAGTAGGCTGCTGGAGCTCTGCTGTGACTCAGTCACTTTGGAGAACACCCTTACCTTTAGCACATTCCCTGCCCCAGATGCAGAATCAAATATTTCTCTAGGCTTTTTTTGAATGGGAAATAAACTTCGGAGAAGATGCTTCTTTGCCACCGGTGCTTCTTGCAATTAGGGCCCTGCTTCTAGGGCTTTTTAATAAGCAGACCTGGGAAATAGCATTTTTTAGAAAAAGGAAAAATCTCATCAGCCTTGAGCCATGGACACTATTAGTCCCATTTTAAAGGTGAGGAGACAGGTCCAGAGTCATTAAGTGACTTGTCCAGGGTCCCCCAGCGTATGAGTGGTGGAGCTGGGACTCAGGCTGAGTGTGAGTCCAGAGTGTGAGTTCTTGACCACAGGCCTTGATGAGCAGGGCCAAGAGAGGACAGTCCCCCACCCCCTGCCATTCTTCTCCGCCCACAGGACAGTGGAGGGTGGACACCCATTATCTGGGCGGCAGAGCACAAGCACATCGAGGTGATCCGCATGCTGCTGACCCGGGGCGCGGACGTTACCCTCACAGACAATGTGAGCAAGAGCTTGGTCAGGTTGGGAGGTCAGACGGCACTGGGCCCCTGAGCAAAGAGGAGGCCCATCCCTCCCCTTCCCACCTCCACAGGAGGAAAACATCTGCCTGCACTGGGCCTCGTTCACGGGCAGTGCCGCCATCGCCGAGGTCCTCTTGAATGCCCGCTGCGACCTGCACGCTGTCAACTACCATGGGGACACGCCCCTGCATATCGCAGCGCGGGAGAGCTACCACGACTGCGTGCTGTGAGCCCCTGCCTGCCCCACGCCCTGACACACCTCCGCCCCTCCCGCAGTCCTAGGCCCCACGGGCTCGCTGTCCCCTCCTAGGTTGTTCCTGTCCCGTGGGGCAAACCCTGAACTCCGCAACAAGGAGGGGGACACCGCATGGGACCTGACTCCTGAGCGCTCCGACGTGTGGTTTGCACTCCAGCTCAACCGCAAGCTGCGGCTTGGGGTAGGGAATAGGGCCATCCGCACCGAGAAGATCATCTGCCGGTGAGTCAGGGTCCCCTGCACCCTGAACACCTGCCCCTCACCCTCCCCAGGCCCACTGACCTCTTGGAACATCCCCTACACCCTCCTCATGCCCCACTGAGCCCTCAAAGCCATCTTTGCAGCAGGGGGCCCCTACCCTGCTCCAGGACTGCCAGATATTAGCCAATAAAAACACAGGAAGTTTCAGGGCCTCCCTGGTGGTACAGCGGGTTGAGTGCAGTGCTGTGAAGCTGTCTACAGCCTCTGCAGCGCCGGTTCGATCCCAGCTGGCCAGGGAGCTACCCACATGGTGCAGCAGACCTCTCCTGTCTCACCTGCTGCTCCCTCAGCTGTGTATTTCAGTCATCTGCCTGTTCTGTTCTCCACTCTGTCTCTGGTGAATTCTCTCACATACACACACCAGACACCTCTGGCCTATACCCCAGCTCTTGTATGAATAAATAAATCTTTAAAAAAAAAAAAAAACTTCAAAAAAAAATACAGGACATTTCAGATAAATAGCACATACTTTTTAAGTGTCAGAATATTCCTTACTGGTCCTCTCCAGTGGTACAGCGGGTTGAGCGCAGTGCTGTGAAGCTATCCAAAGCCTCTGCAGCGCCGGTTCGATCCCAGCTGGCCAGGGAGCTACCCACATGGTGCAGCAGACCTCTCCTGTCTCACCTGCTGCTCCCCTCAGCAGTGTATTTCAATCAGTCTGCCTGTTCTGTTCCCTACTCTGTCTCTGGTGAATCCTGTCACCCCCCCCCCAATCTCTGCCCTGTACCCCAGCTCTTGTATAAAAATAATAAATAAATCTTAAAAAAGAATGTCCCTTACCTCACAGCCTTACCTCTCCCCGATGAACCCCCAGAAGCCCTCTTTACTCCCCCTGGGCCACTCCCCAATTCCCAGGAACCCCCAACCCTCTCCTGTACCACACCCCCTACCATGTCCCAGTCCCCTAGCCCCCTCTCCCCTCTGCCAGGGACGTGGCTCGGGGCTACGAGAATGTGCCCATCCCCTGTGTCAACGGCGTGGATGGGGAGCCCTGCCCCGAGGATTACAAGTACATCTCGGAGAACTGTGAGACGTCTACCATGAACATCGACCGCAACATCACGCACCTGCAGGTGAGTGACCAGGGGACCCTCTGAGCTGCTGAGTACAATGGGCAGGTTGCAGGCCAACAGGCGCAGCTGGCCAAGGGAGTGGGGGCTGCAAGGAGCTCTAGTATGGACTTGTGGCCACCTGGGGGCACTGTCCTGTGTCTGAGGTACATGGGGTATCATACAGGCTGGTGGTAGCCCCATCAGCCACATCTCAATTTCCCCTCACCAGGAAACTTTCACCTCTTGCTGTCCTAAAACATGGACCCTGGAGAAAGAACAGGGGCGGGGCGGGGCGGGGGGTGGCGGAAGCGGGCACAGGGAACCTTGGGAGCTGAGGGGCAGGAAGGGTCTGGGGTCCAACAGAGCCCTGCCTCTCGCCCAGCACTGCACGTGTGTGGACGACTGCTCCAGCTCCAACTGCCTGTGCGGCCAGCTCAGCATCCGCTGCTGGTATGACAAGGTGTGTGTCCCCCACTTCCCAGGCCCTTGCCCCTCACTTTCTGTGCTGTGGGAGTCGCAGAGGGTGGGCACGACCCAGGACTCCAGGGCTGCTGTCAGGGCAAAGATGGACTTGGCCCAGCATGGAAATCCAGGGGGCGGCTTTCTGATCTCAGCATGTGTGGCCTCCCCCAGCCCCTTCTCTGCTTCTGGGTTGGGGTCAGCAGAGGCATTTTGGGATCCCGGACAGCTGAAATCGGCACCATACAAAACCACTGTCCTCCCCTCCCTTGACCCAGGACGGGCGGCTGTTGCAGGAATTTAACAAGATTGAGCCCCCGTTGATTTTCGAGTGTAACCAGGCGTGCTCCTGCTGGAGAAACTGCAAGAACCGAGTAGTGCAGAGTGGCATCAAGTGAGACTCCTGCGGTCGCCCACATCCCTTCTTCCCCTCCCTTGGGGCTTTTCAGGTCCCTCCACCCGAAACCTCCTTCTTTCTCACCCCAGGGTGCGATTGCAGCTCTACCGGACAGCTAAGATGGGCTGGGGGGTCCGAGCCCTGCAGACTATCCCCCAGGGGACTTTCATCTGCGAGTAAGTGGGCCCCTGAGGCAAGTGGGGTGGGGCTCAAGGCCACTGCTGACTCCCAGGCCTCCCTCCGTGTGCCCTTCTCCCTGACAGGGCCCCCCTCCTGAAGCTGCCCCCATCCCACAGCCCGGGACTGCTTGCCCAGCACCACTGGCCCCTCCCCCACGCCTCTGTGTATTTTTGAGCCCCACACACCCTCTCCCCTGCCTTTCCCAGCTGGGAAAGCACATTCTGGAGACAGACCTGAGATTGAGCCCCTCACTCTGCCGCTGACTGTCCTGAGCCATGTTATTCCTTAAGCTTCATTCTTTTTGACTGCAGAATGGAGGTGATAACGCTACCTTTCCATCCCCTCCTCAGGGGCCTCATTCCCCCTCAGCCCTTTCTCTTCCTGGCATGTGACCCTGTGACCTCCCCATCCCCTAGCTCCTACTCTATGGCTGTCAGATTGCTTTGGCTTTAAAAGCAAAAAAAAAGAAAAGGAAGAAAGAAGCCTTTTAGCCCATTTGCCTCCTGAAAGGACTACCCACTTTCTCTCCACTTTGCTCTGACAAGCAGCCCCTCCCTCCCAGGCCTCAGCTCCCCAGCCTCAGTTTCCTCACCATCAGTCTCATCCCTGCCAAAATCTGCATCTGCCCTCACCCTTCTGGTGCTGCCTCTTGACAGTCCCCTGCCCCCAGCTCCTCACTGTGTGCCTCATTGTCCTGGCATCGCCACTTCCCTTAGCTCACACTCCCTTGCTGCCATCCTCCTGTCTGACCCACCATCCTTCCTCTTCACCAGCACGTCTCCTGCTGCTTTTCAAATGTGGGCGTCCTCACTCCCGAATCCCAGAGCCCCGGTGCTTCAGTCCCTTCACACAGCCCTGCCCTGCCTCCTGCTCTTCAGCCCAGTATCGCCGCTGCCTGCTGGGCGATTCCTAGTCCACAAACCTCCCAGTGTCTAAAGCGGAACAGTTTTTCCCCTCAGACCAACTGCCCACAGATATTGATCCCCTTAACCCCAGAAGCATGGCACTGAGGTAGACTCCACATTTCCGAGTCTCCTCTAGCTTGGCTCCAGCCTTGACTTTACCACCACAGCTTCTCCAGTTCTTCCCTGACGCCCCGGCATCTGGGCCCCCCACATTTGCCAGCCCTAGCCTGGGTTTCAGGAATCCCCCCAACTGTGTCCCCATGTTCCTCTTCCCAGTCACTCCCCTCCCCCCCCCACAGTGATAACCCCTGTTCTTCGGGCCCACTGTGCCTTGGGTCACCCAGCAGAGCCTGTTGGTCTGTGAGACTCACTGGTGCTGACCTGGGCCACTGATCGTGAAGAGGATCCTGTGGCATGTGAGGAGAGACAGGGCCTGCTGGTTCCCAGTAAGCCTGCTAACTTTCAGAGTCACCCCTTCCTGCCCAACAGGTATGTTGGGGAGCTGATCTCCGATGCTGAGGCCGACGTGAGAGAAGATGACTCTTATCTCTTCGACTTAGACAACAAGGTGAGCTGGAGACCCCAGCAACGTTTTGCCCAGTCTGCAGGTGAAAACCTGGGGAGGAGGGCCTCAGGGGGCAGTAGGTGAGGAGGTGGGCCAGCGAGCAGGACGGCGGTAGGTATGAACAGTGACCCTCCCCTCAGGATGGAGAGGTGTACTGCATCGATGCCCGTTACTACGGCAACATCAGCCGCTTCATCAACCACCTGTGTGACCCCAACATCATCCCCGTGCGTGTCTTCATGCTGCATCAAGACCTGCGGTTTCCACGAATTGCCTTCTTCAGTTCCCGAGACATCCGGACTGGGGAGGAGCTGGGGTGAGGAGCCCGGGGCTCCGCCCGGGATGTGGGAGGCACAGCCAAAGGCTCAAGAGCGCCTGGTGTCTGGGCATGGATAGCATGGTGCTGCTCACACATCAGTGTAAACAGTCCTGAACCTCAGTAGGTTTCAGTAGGTTTGAGCGGGTCCATGACTGCATTGCAAGCAAGTTCCCGGGCTGATGGGACATACAAGGAGCCCACCTGGAGAAGGTGGGGTGGATGCCAGGGTCTCTCCTGGGGCCTGAGGGTAGACCTGGGCAGCTGGGTCTGAGTCCCCACAAGCCTCCTGTGCTCCTGACAGGTTTGACTATGGTGACCGCTTCTGGGACATCAAAAGTAAATATTTCACCTGTCAGTGTGGCTCTGAGAAGTGCAAGCACTCAGCCGAGGCCATCGCCCTGGAGCAGAGCCGACTGGCCCGCCTGGATCCCCACCCTGAGCTGCTTCCTGAGCTCAGCTCACTGCCGCCTGTCAATCCCTGAGAGTGGACCACGGCCTCCCCTCTCACTCCTGGATGACCACCTGCTCAGCAGCCACCTGTGCCGCCTGCTGCTCAGGCCCACGCCGGGCTGCTGTCTTTCCTCCACCTCTCCCTTCACACATTCCTTGGCCAGAGACCCCAGCCAGGCCCTGGAGGTCTGACAGCCTGTCTCCCAGAGCTGGTTCTTCCCTGGGAGGGTGACTTCAGGGCTGGCCGCACCCCTGTTCCCCATCCTCAGCTGAAGTTTGATGAATTCAAATTGGGCCTCTATGCCAACTGGTTTCTTTTGTTCTGAATAAATGTTGGATTTGGTAATAAACTGGCTGGTTGTTGGGGGGTGTAGCGGCAGGAGGGGACTGAGCAGGATCTCTATGATCCGAGCAGACAGGGGAAGGAGGAATCCTGGAGCCCGCGGTGGCTCTTTCAAGCTTTTATTGGGATTTACCAGGAATACAGCAGGCGGGGAGGGGAAGGGGGGCCCGGGGGTCTGGCAGGCCTCCCAGGCCCTGGCGAATCTTCACTCTTCTGAGCTCTCGGGTGTGCTCTTGTGGCCTCTGCTTCTCTGCTGGTTCTCCTCTTCTGGTGTGTTTCTTTCACTCTGCTGGCGTCCCCATGATGCCGCCCTTAGAAACCTAGTCTCAGCCCAGGTGAACCCACCTATGCATGCCCACGCCCTACTCCAGATGTCCGCCATCGGGCATGCTTTTAATCTAATGGCAGGAGGGTGGAAAAACCTGATACTTTATTTACCCTACAGGGGGCATGGGTACAGGCTCCAGGAATGCTGGGTCCAAGGGCCAGAGAACAGAAAGGCAGCACAGGTGTGGCTGCTGTAGAAAACAGCTGGGGGGCGGGAAGGGTTGTAGGGGGACCACTGTCAAGGGCTAAAAAGCAAATGCACGGTCATCTTCACTAATCTTCTGCAGGAGGGTACAGGTGTGAGAGCTGAAGGGTTTTCCGTAGAGCCTGTCAATCCCTTCAGGCCGCAGTTCAGCCCCACCCCCCTCGCAGCAAGCAGCCTAGAGCACCTGCCCCCAGCTGGGCCTTCCCTCCCACCTGCTCAGAGCTGTGGCTTTGCCGCTGTGAAGAAGGAACTGGAGAGTGTCGGGGACCACAGGTGGAGGTGGGGCTGTGACGTGTGGGAGGGCGGGGCTGGCAGCAGGTAAGTCGCCAGGTCTCCCAGGCTCCAATCACTCCGGAGACTGAGCCATGAGGGGGAAGCAAAAACAGGACAAGGACGAGCTGTACGGTGAGGCTGAGGCCGGGACGGCAGAGGGAGGGGGTCTGCTGCCTGATTTGTGTGACTACAGTCTAGCCCCTGGGAGAAGAGCTGGGGGCGTCCTGGGTCTCTGGTGTGTGCGTGGGGAGGGGCGGGGGAGGAAGGCGGGAAGCCAGCTGATGGAAAGAGGCGGCATCAAGAGTCCAGGAGGAGGATGCAGTTCAGGGACTGTGGGGTGTTGCTGGGGAGACTTCAGGCACTGAAATGGGTCTCTGTAAGGAGATGGGGCTGCAGCGGGTAGGGGCATCCTGGCCTGACCGAGAAACAAAGCCAGAACAGCCCGGTCCCGAACAGGGGCATGAGGCTCAGGCTGGGAGTGTCATGTGTTAAGGAGTCTTTGAAGAGTGAGGTCAGGGCCTGGCCCCCTGTCCCAAGGAGCAGCTGGGGTCTCTGAGAAGTTTCAGGCTGAACTCTGGGTCTCTGAGGGGTAAGGAGGGGGGGTCTGACTCTCAGGGGCTCTGTGAGGAGGGGCAGGCGGGTGGGTTCTGCTGGGGCCCCTGTGAGGAGCTGGGGCTGTGCAGACAGGGCTGGGACTTGCCTCTGAGTCTTAGCAGCAGGAACCAGCCTCTGGTTCTTGAGGAGTAGGGGCAGAGGTCTCTGGGCTTCCTGGGAAGGGTAAGTAAGACCTGAGGGGAGAGGGAAAGAGGCCTGTCCCCAGAATCTCTGTGAGGGACCAAAGCTGGAGCCTGCCCCAGGGGTCTGAGGATCAGGGCTGGAGAGGCCTGAGGGAAGCGTGAACTGGGACCAGCCCTTGGGATCCCTGTGAGCAGTCAGGACTAGGGGCCTGCCCGCAAAGGTCCCCTGGGGTTTGGGAATCTGGAGAGGAAGAAACCCAGAGGCAGGGGGCCAAGGGAAGGAGGAGTGAGATTCCCTAGTAGACTTCCTGGAACAGTTTTGGGTCAATCATTGACCTTATGTCTGAGAATCATGGAGGGACAGAGTCCAGAGCTCCTGAGGAAAGTGGACCCCACCCCTTTCTACACTTGCCCAGCTCTCTGCCCCACTCCCTCTTAGGTGCCCACTAGGCCCTGGCTGCCTGGCCCCACCTCCTCCCTGTGTGTGTACTTAGGGAGGACCAGGAACAGGACACAGCCACAATCTCAACGGCCTGGCTCAGGTGTCACCCTGAGTGCTTGCCCAGGGATTGATAGAGGTCCCTTCTGGGTGGGGGTCAACAGGGGCTCCCTAGTTCCCCAGGCTCTCCCAGAGCTGGTGCCTTTAGCTTCAACTTCTTTCCCCACTGCTTCAGGTGACCGGGTAGAGGCAGGGCTGGGGCAGATGCGGGGAGGAGCTGTGACATCCCTGAAGGGGCTCATCTGTGCCCCTTCTGTAACCTGGGCAAGCTACAGAGAGGGAAGAGGGGCTGGGATGGGGGCATGGGGGTGTGGAGGCACTAACAGCACTAGAGTCAGAGTCCACATCCCAGCCGGAGGGAAACCCAGGAGAAATGACCAGGGTGGAGCGGGAGGTGAAGGACATTCCCTGACTAACATGAGCTGACAGCCTTGAGCTGGAAATGGAATTAACCCTAAAGGTCCCTTTCCCTCTCCACGGCCACCTGGGTAGATTTCACTTGAGCAGAGCTGTTGAGCTGCCAGGTGGGCCTGGATCCTACTTTTCCTGACTTCCATTTCCCCTCCAGCCAGCCCTGCCCCTGTCCATCTCCTTCCCCCAAACTCCTAAGGGCCAGGGGGGATCCCAGGGGAGGAAGGATTTGGGAAGGACGGGAAATGAGAAGAGACCCTCTCAGTACCTCACTCTCTACACTCCTCCCCATACCCCTCAGGAAAACCAGTGGAATATAACCCCTCCTTTCGAGGCCCGATCAAGGACAGGTGAGTTCTGGGCCCTGGCTCTGCAGGTAGCAGTTGGGAGGGGCAGGAGGGAGATGGGTCTTAGTTTTGCTTTGTCCTACCTGGAAAATGATGCATGGGTGAATCGGTGGAGGAAATTCTATGGGGACCATACCTGAGTAAAAAAAAAAAAAGCAAACATTGTTTAAAAATGAACAATGATGTAAAATAGATATAAATAAATAAAATTTTTTTAAATGGTGAGAAACTTGTAAAAAAGAAAACTCCTGCCCCAAAAGAGTGGTGCCCAGGGGCATTGTCATGTGTGGACACAGGGGCCTCCTGGGGCTGATGATGTTTCTTGACCTGGGAGCTGGCTGTGTGGCTGCACGCCCCTCGGGAGAGTCCATCCAACTGGGCCACATGAGTGTGCGCTTTCTCATGTTATACTTCAGACAAAAGTGGACCTACCAAGAAAAGGGTTTTCTAAAAAATGGAATAAAGCCTACCCACTCTCCAGCAATGCCCAATTCTCCAACTGTGACTACTTATGTTATAGGGCAGCCCCGATATTGAACGGGTTGCCTGGCTGTGGGTCCTCACCCGCGCGCTTAAAAGGGACTTATTAATACTCCACTACAGGCACACACAAAAGGTTAATAAAAGGTTTATTTACAAGGGAAAGGGAATTGAGGAAATGTACAACTCAGGGAGAAAACAGGGAAATAAAGTCTTTAATGCGTCCTACCCGATCCGCGGACCTGGAAACACAAAGGCACTCTCAGAGCTGGCTGTACCCTGTGAGCTGGCAGAGAGCCAAAATGGGGGATCCCCTCCAAAGCCCACGTGTCTGGCTTTATACCAACCTGGCTGCTTAACCCCACCCTCAGGTCCCAGCCACCTTCCCTTTGGTGGTGATGGGATTTGGAGTTCCCAGTGTCTTTGGCTTTGGCCTGGAGTGGGGGTGGAGTCCACAAAGCCTGTATGGAATTAGCTTTAGGACATCCTTTTCCCCCTAACAATTAGACCACATTTTCTTCAGGAGCTGCACAGATGTCATCTGCTGCGTACTCTTCCTGCTCTTCATTCTGGGTTACATCGCGGTGGGGCTTGTGGGTGAGTTTTCAGCTTTGCAGAGCTGGGGCTGGGGTGAGGGTCAGTAACCCAGGGAAGGGTCACACTTACACCCTCCTCTGTGATTCCTCCTTTGTGGTTCCACTTTGGTGATTCATCTGTGTCCGTGTCTCCAGCCTGGGTATATGGAGATCCCCGACAAGTTCTGTACCCCAGGAACTCCACTGGGGCCTACTGCGGGATCGGGGCAAACAGGTGAGTACCAAGGCAGGAAAAGGGGGCAGGAGACACACAAGGTAGGTGATGGGCACCCAGACTCCAGATTATCCAAGCTCTTCCACACACCCTCCCAGCCTCCTGGAATGTCCCCACTCAAGACCATGTTGAAAAGTCCTCAGTACTGGGCACTTGGCTTCTGAGGCCCCCCAGAAATAGGGAGGCAGTGTCGTGTGGGGGAGGGGAGCAAGTCTCCCTTCCTCTCTTAGTTCTTCTAGACTGGCAAATAGACTAATTAACATCAGACAGATTGACAAGAGGAAAAAAAAAAAAGCACATTTAATAATATGTACAACTCTGGTATTTATGGGGGAGACCCAGCAAAAAAAAGGTAACTCTCCAAAATGGCTTGTTACCTCCTTAAATAACTTTAATTAAAGACAAAGGAAATGGGGGGAGGGAACTTGAGCTGATCATTATGGGAGGTCACGGGGAAAGGCACTGTGAACTAGGGGAAGACTGTTATGCAGATTTAAGCTGCTGCCTCCTGCATTGATGAGGGTCAGAGAAAGTAGGCCTTCCTGTGGGGCCCGGCTTCCAAAGGGAGACTTCCCTTTACACATGCAAATGTCTCTTATTAAAAGGAAACCTCCACCCAGCTTTTAAAGTCATTCCTTTGAAATAATCCTTATGCCCAAGAGACTGTCTATGGGGTTAGCAAATTTTGTGTCTCTGCAGTAGTCATGGTTCATTGCTGCATGGACTTTGAGTTCAGAGATTGGGTTGGTTCTGGTATGTGGCGTTGAACAAGTTATTCAACCTCTCTGGGCTTTGATGTCCTCATCTGAAACACAAGGATGGTCCCAGAAATGATACTGGGGTTTTTTTCTTTGTTTTTTATTTTTTTATTTTTTATTTTTGGTGTGCAGGAAATGCTCAATAAGTAATAAAAGCCTC